TGCTACCGCTGCTTCTACAAACTACAGCCCGAGATGACCAGGAGCATTTACGATCAGTTTATAGCCCAGCTGCAGGCGTCCATCAAGGTGAGAGGGGAAGAAGAACCTTCGGGGCAGGGCCTGGGGGCCGCGCTGCCTTCGGGGGGGCTTCGAGGCCCGGTGTGGGGGCGCTGAACGTTGATACGAAGGGTAGCCAATACGTTTCTTGAGTGGCAAAGGTAAGGCCGCTCCCCAGTGATCCTCCCAGACCGCTTGGGCTTCCCCAGAGAGAGCTGTAGAGTCGTTGAGGTTGGAAAAGATCCTTAAGATCAACCATAAAACCTAATTCCAGCACTAAACCGTGTCCCTAAGCGCCAAATCTGCGCATCTTTTAAATACCTCCAGGGATGGTGGCTCGATACCTGGTGATTCCCAGGACGCAGCCTTCATCCAGGGAAGGGTGAGGGCTCGCGAGCAGGGGGAGGCCTGCGTCGGTCCAGTTCAAGCCCTGCTGGAATCCCTGCGGTGTCCTTCCTTCGCAGGAGGAGATCCAGGAGGTAAAGGACGAGGGGAATCTGGATATGCTCTTCAATTCACTGGATAAGATCGTGGAGGAGGCAAAGAACCGGGAGGAGCCTGCATGGTATGGCTGGTCTGGCGGAACGCAGCCCGGGGAGCGCGTTTGTGTGGAGCCACGTTCCTTCAAGGGCAAAAATCGGCTCCCGTGTGACGTGGGGGTCGTGTTGCTGCGTCCTTGTGCTGCGAGGGAATTTTTTTCAACCTCCTGTACCTGAAACAGCAACGTCACCGTGTCTAAAACACCCGAAAATAAGTTTTATCTGCGCTTCCCTAGGTCGTGTGTCTGTACTCCCTCAGCGCAAGGGGTGCTGCTGAGACCAGAGGGGAGGGAAACTCGCTCCTGAATCATCCAGGAGGCTGATGGCGCCTTTTAGGCTCAGCTCCTGTGCCGGGAGCAGAGGTGACATCGCCGTTTCTGGCTGGGGAGCCTCGCTGGGGGCCTCGGCACGATGCGGGGGACGCGCCGCCCGGCGAAAGCCTCGTCGCCGCCTCTCTTGTTTCTGCGCTGGGGAGGGGGGAGGTTCATCGCCCCCTCTTGCTCTCTGGTTGCTTCACATCCCAGTTTGTTCCCAGGCGCCCCAGCGGGATCCCGGAGGAGGACGCCCGCGGCGCGCTGGTGCCGTACCTGCTGAAGCACCGGGGCTACCTGCGGAGCGCCCTGAGGGAGAAGGAGGAGGAGAACGGGAGGGCGGCGGCGGCCGTGCTGGCGGGGAGG